CTCTTTCCTCTCTTTCTTCCTCTTCAAAAACTCCCTATACCCTTCTCCACCCTCTAGCTCTTTCTTCCCCTTCCTCTCACCCTCAAGCACCTTTTCCAAAATTACCAAACTGTCCCTCCCAACCATATGCACCCCATCCACGTCCTCCATCTGCAGACTCACCTCCCTCACTTCCATCTCCGGCCCCCACCTCACCACCGCGCTGCACACCGCCGCCCCCTCCGCCACCGCCGTCGCAAACCTCGCCTCCACCTCCCCGCTCAGCCAATGCCGCCGCACCTCCACCGCCCTCCCGCTCGAAACATCCGCCGCGCGCCTCCCCTTCGCCTCCACCAAAATCCAGCTCAGCCTCAGCTCCCGACACGTCTCCTCGTCAACCGGAAACCCCACCCCCGCCCGCACCGCCTCCTTCTCCCCAACCATGTCAATCCGAAACGGGGAGCACCGGAACCACCCGGTCACGGTCTCCGTCTCCACCACCTTGGAAAATATAACGCGCGGCCCGAGGAAGAGATCAACGGCCGAGATCAGCTCCGTTGTGCGGTCGGGATTTGGAGGGAGTTTCGCTGGTTTCGGAGAGGGGAACGTGTCGGCGAAGAAAGAGCGTGCGCCGTTGGGGAACGTCGAGATGACGTGGCGGACGCGTGGCGAGAGCGTGGAGGGCCACCTGGCGTGGCAGGCGTGGGCCCAGAGGTGCGGCTGCGAGGACAGGCCGCGGAGCTGGGAGCACGTGCTCGCCGCGGCGGCCAGGGCGGGGCCGTCCAGGCGCGTCAGGATGTGGGCCTGGATTACGTCTCCGGGGACGTCGGAGAGTGTGGTGGCGCCGCCTCGGTCGCCGGTCTCCGCTGCGTTGGGTTCACCGGAAGTGGATGCCATGGAAAGGTTGTTTAATTTTTAGTGGGGTTTAGGCTTCTTCTGTTCGACAGATATGGGACTTATAGTTATATAGTGTTTATTCATGAATGCAGTGCGCAGGGCAAATGCGTCTTTGTCTCAACATTGGAAAATTAATCCTTTTTTTAATGAAAAGTATATGCTTTATTTATATAAAATGACTTAATTACAATAATTTAAACAAATATTAATATTATTTTAATAACTATTTTTTATATTACTCCCTATATGTATATGTACGGATAAATTTGTTTATTTTAAAGGTAAGTTTATCTAAACTTACTTAGTTTAATAATTTATGTTCTACATCAAATTTTAACGATTTAACTGTTAAATTTAAAATTCTATTTACATATATTAAGTTTGTAAATTTTTGAAAATTTTAAAAACTATTTAATACTTTATTTCATAAATTTAAATTAACAGATAATCATAAATTATTTTAAATATTAATTTAAATTAATGAAATGAAGTATAAAAGGACTTTTAAAACTTTTGAAATTTACATATTTGATATATATATTAAATACGGTGTAAACTTACTTACGAATATATAAATTAAATCAACTTTCTTCATAGTCTTAACAATGTGTAATTTTAGCCCCCTCAAAAATTTATATTGGAAGGATTACATTGAGGAAGATGAGGAGAATGATGATGAGGAGGAGAATGATTAGATTAGCAAAATGCTTCTTGTACTCTTGTTTTTCTATGTTTTTTGTTGTGTTTTAATCAATTATGTTATGAAACTTAATTCATCCGATATTCAATACTTCGGGTAATTATTGCTTATGGAATTGGAAATTTGTCTTTTGAATAGAAAGGGACATTATGTGTTTTGCACGTTGAAAAAGGTGAAACCCTTTTTTGAATTCTTCCCACAGTAATCATTACTCATTAGTTGTAAAATATATGAGTGACGGTGTATTTGCATGAGAGAGAAAGAAATGTAACATTGTTCCCTTTCATCTGAAATAGAAACGGTTCATGAGGAAAACCATATATGTAAATCCTGTCAACTTTCAAATTAAAAGCAACACTGGTATTTTTTTTCACATTCCGTCTTCCACAACCCAACACCATATATTTCCAGTTCACTTCATCGTTGTCTCATCCAGGTATGTCGCTTTTCAGTTTCATTTTCAAATTTATTTCAACTACACAATCCAACAACATAAATAATTGTTAGTAAATAAATTTATTGGCTCAGATTTTAAAAATGGCATCTTCATCGACATCGGTAAACAATGGCAACTTCAAAAACTGGTTTCAAACTTCCGGTTCAAAATTAACCCCGGGAATCGTAAGTTAATATTATTTGTAATGGTAAGTAGCACTGTTTATAAACAATTTTTTTTTGTAATGCAACTGTTTATATTTGAATATACAGGATTCAATGAAAATATGCAAGTACTTTAACAAATTTTGGGGTCATCATCTGCTGACTGATTTATGCTATGCCATGGATCCGAATGGGAATGTCAGCACACTTGAAATTTGTAAAAGAAAACATAAGCATTGGTTTAGAAGTGGCTGCACTCGTATGGCAAATTTCTATGAAATGAAGACAGTTCATATTATTTTCCTGCACTTTATAGGAAATAATTATTTCCATGTACGTATATACAATGACAAATATGTTGAAATAGATTATCCTATTGCAAACGGATTGATGGACCGAAGTAGTATTGACTTTTCAACCAACTTTTGGCAAACTTTCAAAACCAACCTTAATAAGGACCAGGTACTCATTTTACACTTAATCTTCCATAAATTAAATGTGTGTAGTTTTTTGTATCATTATGTAATTTGATTTGTTTAAATTTGATGTCATATTCATTTATACCAGGATATATTGCCACTTGGAGGAACTTTTAATTTCTTTTCGCAACATAAGATGAATGTTGGCGTTGCGGTGATTAGTGATCCTGCAGGAAATGAATTTTGTTTTCAATTAGAATACGACTCACGTGGAGTTGATTTCCAATTGAGAGGTGCTTTGCAATTGGTACAAAATTATCAGCTTAAACAGAATCATATGCTTTGGATTCATTATGTTGAGCATAATAAGTTCTTAATAAGGGTTTTTTCTCCAAGCAAATTGGAAATTAATTATGATATTCAAAAAGACGAAGAAAATTTACAAGCGTTTATGGTTCAAAAAAGTTGGATCAAAATAATTACTGAGGATGATTTATTTAAATTTCAACCGTTGGTAAGTTTTCTTACTAATTAAGTCCTCAAAATTATTTTAAATAATATTTTATTTGATGACTAATTATAAAATGTTGTTATTGTAGACTATTCCATGTGATGTTGTTAGAGATTTTATCCCAGATGAACAACAAAAAATAGTCATACAAGATGAAGAAGGTAATCAATATTTATGTGAACTTAAGGGAAGTTGTCATAAAAGGTACATGGCTACAGGATGGTATGACTTCGTCTGCGCAAACAACTTTTTGGTGGACGATGTCCTTCAATTTTATTTTACTCATGATCCGAAGATCCTATATGTACAAAAAGGGTAATGGTGTTTGTCTTTATTGCAACAGATACTCTATTACATGACTTTCCTTATGAGTTATAATTTGTAATCATTGACGCTACAATTGTCTTGTTAGTTTATAATGAAGTTGACTGCATTCAATTAACACAAATTATACACAGAATATGTTTATAATTAACCACTGAATTAACACATTCGTCATTTAAAAAAAAAGAAACAAGTTAAATACATACAGCATATTACAAAACATTGTCATAAAAGGAAATAACCACCCCCGATCGAAAAACATCAAAAAACAAAGAAATACATTTATGATGTCCTTAACATAGCAGCAAAATATGCAGTCACTACGGCGGAGTAGGATACGTCTTTCAAACAATCATTCTTCTTGTTTTTCCTTCGCAGCTCTCAAATTTGCCATCTGTTCATTTAACATACAAACCTCCATCTCCAGCTCCAAATTTTTATTCATTGTTTTTTCAAGTTGTTCCTCCAGCATTTGAACATTATAGTAGTTGTAGTCACGAATCTTTTTACCCGTTGCTGCTAGTAGTCGACGAATCAATGAAGCCGACACATCTTCTTGAGCATCGTACTCATTTGCTGCAAATTTTCCCAATGAAACCAGGTTCCCAAAATCACCCGTAACCAATGTTCCATAGTACCTACGATACTCAACTCCTTGAACAATTTGTTTTCGCTCCAGTGTGAACATTGGGTCAGGATAACCACGAACAGCACATATGTGAGACAACAATATTCCCATGCTTTGATGAACAAGAAACACCTCACAATTAGTGTCCTCTGCAATATCATGTGGCTTACTACCTAATAACAACAACAAAAAAACAAAAACTAATTAAAAAATTTTAAAATACATATTTATTCATAAATTAATGGAAAAATCAACCTTCTTCGCTACTCGTTGATTCTTTTGGACATTTTCTGTGACCTTTGTTTTTATTTTTTTTGTCTTCAGTGGCTTGTTTGTTGCAGTACATTATCCAAGCGGACCATGCTTCTTCATACGTGGCATATGATTTATGCTTGTTACCCTTGTAGCCACTAACCTGTGCTTCACATTCTTCCCAACAGTAATAAATTCCTGGGTTCCGTCCCTCAAAGACGACATAAACCTTTGGCTGAGAGCTGTTTGAACTCATTTTTTGGCTGTAGAAAGAGGAGGTAGGGATGAACTCAACCTGACAATACACATTACCATTTATAATCAAATTACGACGTTAATAAATAATAATGAAAACATTTATTAATTTATTAATATTGTACAACACGTATATAAAAAAACATAAACCCATATCATTTGATATTTTTTTCTCGCATTTTATTTCGTGAATGAAAAACCAAAACAAAGGTCTACACACTGGACAACGAAATTAAAAGTAATAAACTATTGGAAAACCATTGCCATCTTTCAACTTTGCTAGTCACAGTTCCAATCCACGACTATGTGGTCAGTACTTTCTGCGGATGAAGTTGCCACATAATGATGACAATTAAAATGATTTGATGTCCTCGGGTTGCTGTCCATGTTAAAAAAATATATCTATTGTCTGAAAAAGAAAATTCTTGATCCTCCGAATCCATAGTCCGAAATACATTCCGAATTTAAAAAATATATATTTTAAACTATTAAATATTAAATTAAATAATGATTTTATAATAAATTTATTAAAAATATTAATATTTTAACTTTCGGAGGATGATTCGGAACAAAATTGGGAGGATGTATCATGTCTCCTATTGTATACATGGTAAGTTAATTATATTCACAAGCAAAATGCTGCAACTTAGGTCTCATGTCCTCGGGTTGCTGTCCATGTTCAAAAAATATATCTATTGTACAATAAATGAAATTTGATATTTATTAAAGTAATTTATTTTACTTAAGAACACGGGGTGTTCTGTATTAGGATTGTGTTACTTTTACTTCTGTAGTGTGTTGTGTATCAGATGCTACCTACCCCTTATGCTACTTCGCGCGTTGTGTTCTTATTGCTGCATGAGGTGACTACTCACCACCGTCTGACTTGTGATCAGGGACATGGCGCATCACATCAGTTATGACCAGCCTTTGACCAACCATTCCCATAATGCCGCGTGGACCCAGTGTTTTTTCTAATTTCCAGTTTCTCTATTTATACATCATGCCTCTCATTCTCGGCCCAAGTGTTGATCATTTGCTTTGTGTAAATTCTTTGTTCTCCGCTAGACGTCCTTCCTGTAAGTGTTATTTTCCTATTAATTTATGATTTTATATATCATATTTATATGACAATAATATAAATTATTCATACTTCATATATATCCTTAAAATATCAAATGTGATGTATATGAACTATCTATTAAAATACAATACTATATTTATTATAACCCATATTGTAATAAATTTGGTACTTAATAAATACAATACTATACTTATTATATTATTTTCCAGATATTATAAGTTAAATCATTTTAATTAATAATATTACAATAATATTTGTTTTTTTTATATTAGAAATGTCTCGTAGAGGAGTGGATTACGTGCCAGACAGCGATGAGGAGCAAGACTTAGTTCGCTCAGAGGAAGAAATCATACATCAACAATTACTATCTGAATG